TTCTACGAAAACATGAAGCCAACCCTCGCCTGGCCGCCATAGCACCTGGGCCGCGGGCGGACTACAACTCCCAGCATGCACCACGCCTCGAGGGAGCATGCGCAGAGCCACGCCCTCTGACCTCTGCGTCCGCCGCCGCCGGCGCTGTGCGGGGCGCCGCCATCTTCTCCTCGTCCCCGCCGTCCGCCCAGCTCTGCCGCCGCCATGCCGGACGATCCGGACCCGGAGGTGTATAAAGCGCCGCCGAGCCGTACTCCGGTCTCGGAGAGCACCTCGGCGCTGCCCAATCCGGTCACCCTCATCCAGACTGCGTTCAACTATATCATCGATGCGCCCGTTACCTTCGTACGAGGTACAGACCGGTCACCGGGCTGAGCGCGGCCTTCCCGCTCCCGTCGGAAGGGCAGCGATGCGGTGTGGGGACGGGAACACGGGACGGACACGGGGACACGGGGACACGGGGACACGGGGACACGGGGACACGGGGACACGGGGACACGGGGACACGGGGACACGGGGACACGCAGTGCACGCAGCGGTGGTGGCACAGACGGACGCACCGACGCACCGGGCTGTGAGGTGCCTGACTGTGCCGCTGCTGTTGCAGAGTGGATCGAGCGCCAGCAAGCCAAGAACAAGTCCTATTACTACCACCAGAAGTTTCGCCGCGTGCCCGACCTGAGCGAGTGCCTCGAGGGGGATTACCTCTGCTTCTACGAGGCTGAAGCGCAGTGGAGGAGGGACAGGTACGGCTGGCACAGGGCTGCCCCAAGCGGGGGGTCACAGAGCCCTCCCGCTCTTCTCGGTTGGCTGTGGGAGTCCTGGGGGTCGCACTGGAATCGCATGGATTTTGGGGTGTTGAATGGTTACCTAAGCCACTGTGTCTACCCCCTTACAGAACACTGGTGGTTGCAGTTATTCTGTCCCCTGGAGCCTGCTTAGCTGGGCAGGCTAGCATTAGTGTCATCCTGGTTCCTGCAGTTCTGCTCTTCTGTAGTCCATGTGTTGCAGTTGCACTCCTCATCTCCCACACAGGTTGGTGGATCAGCAGATTGTGGAGATACTCCGGGAAAGGCTAGGTGCATGCAAGCACAGGGAAGGACCAAGCCATTTTCAGAACTGTGCCAAGGAGGCGGAGCAGCTTGCACAGGTTACCAAAGCCTACCAAGACAGATGTGAGTACTGCAGCCTTTACATCTGCCAGAGCTGTAACAGCATACGGGGAAAGGAAGGTTCAAAAGATCTTTTCTCTGCATTAAAACTCCCTCTTGGAAAATGCTGCAGATCTGAGCTCAGTGTTCAGATGTGCCAGACCCACTGGGCCTGGACAGTGACACTTCAATAAGCACAGCACAGCTGACACTCCTACAGTATCAAAAGCTGTATACATTTCTCTCTCAGCACTGCAGCTTGCACCTGTCCTAAGCGCCACACTTCACCTGGGTCAGACCTGGTTCCTCCTAGCTGCTGAGGGCTATTCAGACATTGACATTATTACCTTTCCTTTTAGATGGTGATCTTGGTGTCCACGGAAATGCCAGGACGTGTCTGATGAAGCAGAAGCACAGGATGATAGAAGAAATGAAGGCACAAGAAAATGCATCTCAGTAAATCTGGATACAGAATAATTAGCACGTCTGTCAGTGGTGCTTTTATCAATCCTGTGTTGCATCTGTGAACTGTGATGCTCTACAATAAACTTGCAAACCCAAACATCTGCCATGCCATTAGCATTCTCATTCAAACTCATTCTTTGAAGAGGTGTGCAAAAACTTAGAATTCTTTTTTGAGATCTGTTTCAGTTGGTTGTTACCACTCTCTAAATGAAGTCAGCTCCATGTACCCACCCCAGCTGTGGTACCCCAGGGTGTCCCTGCTCGATTTCTCTATTACCATTAATCTACAAACCATTAATTCTGCTGTACCCAACCATGGTAGGGAGCACCCTCAGAGTAAACACACTGTGAAAGGACAGTATAAGGGAATATTATTTTCCCCTCTCTTTGGTTACAAACCCCACTCAGGATTAATGTATGATTAACAAGGGTTAGTGTAAAACATTCTGTTCCACCCAACAGATGTTCAGGCTGTAGCCCACAAACTTGAGCCTACTCAGATCCCAAGCACAGACTTAATCCATCTGCCCAATACACAAAGCATCCAATCAAACCAACTTCTTGTCCACTGACCACTTTATTGCCTTGTACAAAAACCACTTAAGTAGTTGCCACAGCAGCTGCCTGGGTTCTCTGCACTGAGACTCTGGTGTGGGTCTTAGCCAGATGATCAGTGAACTCCTGGATTAAAACAAAAAAACAGCATTTAGTTTCTGTAAACCACTGTGGTGCCTTCTCAGCATCATAACTTTTCAACAAGCTGTGTACACTGGGGTGGGATTTTCAGTTACAGTTCTGTTACTTAATTATTTCACTTATTTCTTTCTTATTGAACCATGAAGTACTATTTAAGTGCAAACTTATCAGACTATCAGGACAACGTGAGCTGGGAACTGAAGGAAGCGTTGCATGTGTACCTGGTAAGGAGACTTGGTGAAAACAGTCTCTTTCCAGAGGTCAGGAGTCAAGTAACTGTACGTCTTGGAGATGGCATCGAAGGTGGCCTTAGCTATGTAAAGAAGTTAAATATTGCACATCACTGTTACAGAAATGAACTCCTGTACCCATTTACACATCTCCAGAAGTGTAGAATTTCAGAGGAAACAGAGAGACCATAAGAAGATCTCTCTGTTATACTCTTAAAATTCACTTTCCTTTCTCTCTCCATTTACGACAATTACACTACTTCAAGCAAGTGCAACCGCGCAGATTGGGAGATTGGGAGCTTTCCATCTGCCATGGACTTAACAACACCGCAGCACTATTTTCCCTTCCAGTAAAACAACACATGCACAACTACAACGCAATAACCTCACACTTACCAAAGTTGCCAAGTGTGGCAGTACAGCCCCGGGCTGAGGTATAACAGTCATCGATTCCAGCCATCATCAGCAGCTTCTTGGGAACAGGGGCAGACACGATGCCTGTACCACGAGGCGCCGGGATCAGACGCACCAGGACGGATCCGCACCGCCCAGTAACCTATGAGCACAGCAGGTTCCAGCTTCCACAGCACACACCACGGCGTGACTCACAGGCAATGCACAGCAGGTTGTTCTTACCTTGCAAGGCACGGTGTGAGGCTTGCCGATCTTGTTCCCCCAGTAGCCTCGTCTCACTGGTACGATGGATAATTTAGCCAAAATGATTGCCCCACGAATCGCAGTGGCAACTTCTTTAGAGCATTTAACACCAAGACCAACATGGCCGTTGTAGTCTCCAATGGCAACAAAAGCCTAAAATTGAAGGAAAGTTTTCAGCCAAGGCTTTGTCATGCAGGAACACTCTCTCAGCAGAACATAATCCAGCAGGATCTCACCACAGATAACCAGAAGCATATGATCACAGCTACAGTACACTACAACTAAGCAGTTGTTAAAGCAGCTCCTATAACTTATAAAGTTACGAAGCTTAGTAAGGTGCTGCACGGGCTGCCGGAGAGGTTGTGGATGCCCCATCCCTGGAGGTGTTCAAGGCCAGACTGTATGGGGCCCTGGGCAGCCTGGTGTATTATTAAATGTGCAGGTTGGTGGCCATTGTTGCAGAAGAGAATTGGAGCTTGATGATACTTGAGGTCCCTTCCAACCTGGGTCATTCTGGGATTCATTATGTCTGAGAAGTGCACTTCTCCCCTTACAGTTTTGCCTCCCAGATCAAAAGTAACAAAAGAAAACTGGGTTTTAGATTTCTGATGCAACCACAACTATCACAATCCGAATAATGTTCAAGAAAAAATCCTCAGAAGAGATTACCTTAAACCTGGTACGCTGACCAGCACGCGTCTGTTTCTGGACAGGCATGATCTTCAACACCTCATCTTTCAGAGAAGACCCCAGGAAGAAATCAATGATCTCTGACTCCTACAAGATTCAGCCATTTAATCACATTTCTAAGCCACACTTCTAAGCTGCAATCTCCACACAAAACAAAACACACAAGTCTCACTGCTGTTCTCTGCAAATGAGTCCAGAGTCAACTAAATAACAACACGGCTCAACTTGAGTGTTCTAAATAACAAATGCAGCAACTGATGCCAATTTCACAGTTCAGACCGAGACCCTGCTGCACACTGCTCACCAGCTCTGAGCACCCACAGAACCTCACCTTGATGGGAAGGGAGAAGAGGTAGATCTCTTCCAGAGACTTGATCTTCATATCCTTGACCAGGCGACCAAGTTTGGTGACAGGAATCCACTAAGGAAGAAACAAGTAAACGACAATGGGCTTGCAGCATCTTCTAGGGGAATAGGGACTATAGAAAACACCACGGGTCAGCCCAACATAACGCTCCCCGCCCTACAGACTCCACTCACTTCCTTATCCTCTGCTTTGCCTCCACGGGCCCCGCGGCCTCTCCCTCGGCCCCTACCACGGCCGCGCCCGCGGCCCCGCAGCCCGGTTCCGAAGCCGCCGCGGAAGCCTCCTCGGGCGGCTCCTGCCCCTCCTGCAGCACCGGCGTCGTCCGCCATTTGCTATACAGAAAGAGAGGTACATTAGCCAAAACACCGCCACCATCAACTAGAGAGAACTACGCGGCACGACCACAAAGCCCGGCCGGGACCCATCCGGCGAGGCACGGCCGGCCCCACACCGCAGGCGGCTCGGATGGGAGCGGATAGAGCGGAGGTCGCAAACGGCCGCCACCCCACAGCCACCAGCACTTACGTGTTCGTAGAGTAGAAGGCCGCCACTTGCCGCCGTCCGTTATTTATACTCAGAAAGTTCTCGCGAGAACACCTCTGTGTGGTGCCAACCCGGCGCGCTGAATTCATAATAAACTACAGCGCGGAGGGGGCGCTAACAGCTTAATTATACAGGGTGCGGGGCGGGAGGGCCAGCTGGAAGCTGTGCGCATGCACCACCTCTACGCATGCGTAGTCTCATGCTATAAAGGCGCGCACACGTGGGACTGCAGTCTGATAAGTAAGGAGGTTGGTGAGTTGGGGTGCCTTATGTGCGGTAGATGGGTTTGGTTTGTTTGCTTCTTCGGTTTTCTTCTCTTAGTTGTGTTTAGAGATTTTAAGCCTTTGCTGGGGTTGCGTTTGCGTTGTAAGCTGTGCTGGTAGGAGGTGGGTACAGAAAGAAGACTGTTGGTGTGAGGGCTGGGAAGCAGCCTTTGGCACAGTCTGAAAATCACCTGCGGTCTCCTGTGGCCTCCGGTGAGATAACCGTGCCGACAGCATAGGGAACATCAAAGCTTATTGCCCACGATGACGGTGTGTGGGGAGTGAAACCCATGTTCCCATAATTTCAGTGAGGGGCCCTGGGGGTGGCTGAGTGTGAGGGCGGTGTGTGAGTGCTGTGCGTTTCCCCGCAGGTGTAACAGCCCGGCTAGGACCCTTCATGTGAAGATAAGACAAAAAGCGTCTTTGTGAGAAGGCCGGAGGATTTACAGTCGGAATACTTCAAAGCTCTGCAGAACGGTTATAAAAGAATGATTATATGAATGGAGCTGAGTGCTTTCAATAAAAATTTACTTAAACACTTACTCGAGTCCTGCTACTTGTATTTTTGTACAGTCCGCGAACTCTGGGGTTTGAAGGGTGTGGGTGTAGTGCTGGAACATAACTCGGACGAGTGGGAAGCCGTTCCCAGCCGCCTTCCGTTCCATAACGGCAGCGGTTTGTTCAGACGGAAGCGGTTCCGTGCCTTGCGCTTCTTTCTCCCACGTGATGCGCAGAGAGGGTGCTTCCTGTGTTGGTTGTGCGTTATTCACGTGCGCCGGAAATCCAACTCCCGCAGCCGGAAGTCCCGCCCTCGAAACCCGGAAGGGGCCTGCACGCGGGGCGCAGGGTGCCATGGCCACGGCGGCGGGCAGCGTGGTGCGCTTCAAGAGCAAGTGAGCGGGGCTGGGGCTGGGCTGTGCGGCCGTAACGTTCGCCTCCGGGAGCGGCCGAGATGCGCTGTCTTCGCTTTAACAATCTGTCCATGCGTTTCCCTTTCTTCCTCTCTCAGTTATGCTGTGTCGAGGAAAATCGAGCCGTTCTACAAAGGAGGGCGAGTGCAGGTAGTGGTCGCCTACGGCTGGTGTCTCTAGAAGGGGCTGGGGAGCGCCCTGCTTCCTGCTGGGCCACCCCCACTGCCTACTCTTAGCTCTCCATCCTCTATTTTCTAGGTAAGCCGGGATGGGAAGTTCATGTTCTGCCCCTGTGGGACCAAGTTGAACGTGATCGATGTCGAGACGGGAGCTCTGCTGCACAGCCTTGAGCAGGTGAGGGAACACTGAAGCGTTTCCCGCGGCTCTCAGGCCTTGTAACTGATGTGTTTTGAAGCTTTTGGGAGTGGGAATAGAGAGGTCTGAGAACTGCAACCCTGGCTGGTGTTTGCATTGTTCATCACTGTATGCGTGGTGCTGGGTATGCATGGGTCAGTAGGAGCTGTGGCAAAGTAAGGCTTGAGAGCACTCTGAAGCAGTGCACGGATGATTAACTATGTTTTTATCATTTTTCAAGGATGACCAAGAGGACATCACTTCATTTGTTCTCAGCCCTGATGATGAGGTATGTGTATGGCTGTGTTTGCTGTGTGTTTTTCTTTCCTGGGCCTCCTGGTAAGTCCAGTGAAGTCTGAGGAGTGTTCTGCCATGAATGTCCCTGGGAAACTCTGTGGAGTCTGTTATCTCTTCTGGGCTCGAGTCAGATGTAGGAATTACTGTTGATTTTTTTTTACTGTAATTAGCCACAAAGATGCATCCAGGGACAGGAATACATTTTACTCTATTCTGTATATATGCAGAAACTCTATTAGTTGATGTTTCATTTAAATCCTGATTTTTTTCTAGCTGCTTGCCAGCATCCATGCATATGCTGAAGCACTGCAGGTCAGAGCTTCTGGGAGAGGTTTCCTGTTGTTTCTGATGTTTGTCTCTCAGTTTTGAGGAGGTCTTTGTGAATGCTTGTTATGCATTCGGTGCGTTTCCTGATACGTTTTGGGACAAGTATCATTCTTATGAATGAATGTTGAGATACTGAGGTTCAAGAACATCATAGCAATGGATATTTATGTTGTTTGTGTATTGTCACTGTTGAAAGTGGCTGATTTTGCTTTCCTTTGCCTTGCTTTTCTATAGATTCTTGTGACAGGAAGCCGAGCCCTGCTGCTGAAACAGTGGAATTGGCGAGAGAACAAGTGTGTGCGCACGTGGAAGGCAGTGCACATAGCACCAGTGGCCACCATGGTCTTTGACTCTACTTCAACACTGTTAGCCACAGGTACGATCCTATTTCAGCCTAACTTAATGCAGCACGAGGTGGTGAGCTCTCTGTTACATACATCATCATAAGAGGCTTTATATGTATGTAAATTGTCTTATTGAGAGAGTTTTTCCAGTATTCTAAAATATTTTTAGTAAAGTGCTGGTAAATATTAGGGATTTATGAGACAGCGTGGCATAGTTAATCTGAATGTGCAGTTAAGGCTCCTTGAAGATGGAAGACAAGCATGAACTCTAATGTGTCAGTTGCACTTGAAGTTTATTTTCTGTGGACAGTCAGATTTTATAAGTGTGAAGTACTCATGAACTTCTCTTGGTGTGGATGGCTGTTCCTGGATTCATTTTTCTTTCTGCTGCGTTTGTTACTCATTAAATTTTACAGCTGTTGCAGTGTTGGACCTCCTTTCTTCATTCTGGCATGCTCTTCTTTTCTAAGGTGGCTGTGACAGCACCATTAAGATCTGGGATATGGACAAGCAGTATTGCACACACAACCTGAAAGGATCTTCAGGAGTTGTACAGTAAGGATGAGCCCTGTTTTTCAGTCACTTAATGTGATGCCTGCATGCTGGGATTGATGTGAATTGTCAAATTCTTTGTGTACAATGCATTTCTATTTATATATTGGTCTAATGCAAAGAAGGTGCCAGGCAGCTTATTCCTACTCCATTCAGATGTTTCTCCTCTCTAGCCTCGTTGAGTTCCACCCTGATATCTCCCGTCTGCAACTCTTCTCCTCTTCAATGGACTACAAAATCAGGATTTGGGATCTGAATTCCAGCAAGTGTGTGGCTGTGCTGGATGGCCACTTCAGTGCTGTCACCTCCCTGGCATTCACTGCAGATGGAAACACGTTCATTAGGTAAAAAAAAAAAAATAGAAAAAAGCAGAAGCTTAGCTTTTTCATTAACTCTGGCTCTTGGTAGAGATTGGGTGTTTGAGTGAAGTTTGGGTGGGGTAGTTTGTCCTGTGGGGGTAAGAACTGCTAAAGTATTCAGTCTCAGCTTGACAATGCATTGTGGACTTCTTCAGAGAAATGTTGAACCCACAACTCCAAATTTGAGTTCAGAGATTGAGTTGAATGTTTTTTAATGCTGATTTATCTTGTAGTTCTGGCCGTGATAAAATCTGCATGGTGTGGAACCTGAAAACCAGAGAAAGTAAACGAACTGTCCCTATCTATGAGGTGAAATTGCATTTCTTTTATTCCTTTGAGATTCTCTGTTGTCTTTGTAGGTTTGTGTATATAATGTATGGGTACCTACATGTGTGTAAATAAAATGTGGATTTTTATATATTGTGATGTGACACTTCTCTATGTGTATTTTCCCAAGGCCTCAAAACTCTGTCTGAAGCTGTTTGTTATCTCTGTACTTGCTTGATGTAGCTGTGCCTGGGCAATCTGTAGAAATGTATGCCACCTATGCCTCACTTCTGGAGAAGGAAAGAGAGACAGTTGCTAGAAAACTTTCTTCTTGCTTTGTGTCTGCCAGCCTTTCCTAGGCACCTGTGTAGTGTAGTCTGGGGCACTGAAGCATGGTTTGTGTGCTTTTGGCACTAATGAGCTGTTAACACAGCTGCTTGCTGCAACAGGACTCTAACCCTTTGTGCTAAGCTGGTGTTTGGCCAACTCCTTTGTAGAGCGTGGAAGCTGCCATCTTGCTGCCTGAACGAGGAGATTTCTCTCAGCTGGGTGTGAAGAAACAAGGGCTGCATTTTCTCACGGCTGGCAGCAAAGGTGAGCATCCTGTCGTGTTGCTGCTGGAGTTGGAGGCTAAGGAAGAACTGTGCTTAAGGTGCTACGTTGCTGTTGTTCCTGGGATACGTGGTTTGTGTGGCAGGAGTGTTGGGCTGAACTCTTGGGGGATGGAGACCAAAGCCTTCTCTTGATTTCCTTCAGTGATAGCAGATGAGGAAGAATTATCAGGCCTTAAGGCTGTGTGGCTTTCACTTGTACACAGTGCCAAGGTTTGCTTTATATTCCTTGTACAATCACTGTCTACAACAGTGGCTCTGACATAATTTATATTATTTGCTAGGGGTCCTGAAAATCTGGGAAGTTGCTACAGCTGCTTGTGTGTACACCCAGCCTGTGCCTTTTGAGCCTGTGGAGTCAGAGGAGGAGGCCAGTGAGCACAGCCTGACCCACTGCATGCTTGTGCCTGAGAGAAATGAGATAGTTACAGTGTCTGTGGAGCACAACATTGTTTTATATGATGCTCAAACTCTTCAGCTCAGGAAGCAGGTAACAACCCTCAGCCTTTCTTTTCCTTTTATCAGTATTTTAGGCTCAGCTTTGCTTCTAGTGAAAAGTCTGTTCTTGAAATAACAAGCTTTGTTATTGAAAGTTTGTTCCTGAACTGTTCCTTGGTTACAAGCCAGGAAGTCAGATCCACTGTTGGAGTTGGAGGGATATTACACAAATAATACCGAATGGAAAGCGGAACAGCCTCAGACAAAAATCCCTTCTGTATTCCAGCTTATGTCTAATAAGATCAGAATTAAGTGAAAGAAAATGGGAATGCAGCCTCCCTGAGAATGGTGCCATTTGGTGCTTCACTCTGTTTGACTTTTTCTGTTCTGCCATCCTCAGCTTGCGGGTTACAATGATGAGGTTCTGGATGTGAAGTTCCTCGGGCCTGGTGATTCTCACATTGTTGTGGCTACCAACAGCCCTCAACTGAAAGTGTTTGAACTGTCAACATCACACTGCCAGATCCTCTATGGCCACTCAGGTGTGTGTGAGTGTGTGTGGTCAGCTCTGCTGGAGATGGGTAGAAGATGTGGAAGCAGTTCTTTATCCCGCTTTTCTCACAACTTTTATGTGGGGACTGGAGTCACTGGGCTCTGTCTGGAGTAGCATCACAACTTATTTTGGTGGTTTGTTTGTTTGTATTTTGGGGGGGATTTTGTGGGGTATTTTTCTGTACACTCCTGACTTTGCAAATGCTGCTTTATCTTTATCCAGGTCTATCAGTTCAGTCTTTCTCACTAACTGAAATCAGTTTAGTTTGGAGTTGAGGGTGTAGGTATGGGAGTGCTTGCTCTGATTGCTGTTTTGTGGCTGCAGTGACAGACCTGCACCAATGCCATATGCCACCTGTCACTTCATAAGGAGTGCAGATATGTTCCTGAGTCTCTCAAACCCAGCCCTAATCACTGAGCTGTGGACTTCATACTAATTAATACATTTCTGTTGTCTGATTTCAGTATTCCTTTGCATCCAGCTGTTTTTATTTCCTCTGTTTAGAAACGATTCTTGCTTTGGATGTCTT